AACACGCCGAGAGTATCACACATCCGTTGAGCTCTTGGTCGCACCTTCATTCCGCATTATCCCGCACGGTTTTTCTTCGCAATGGTCCATCTTTTAAAGAAATAAGTCGCCGTGACCGATAATTGCTGCTCGATGCAAGCATTAAATATAATCAGGATTTAATCATATACTAAAGGAATATGAGAGAAGCACAAATGATTGAACTTGTTCTAATTGTATACAAGTAAATGATGATGCATTCGAAACAAGTTTATATCCATATTACTTTTTTGCAATATAAATTACATTGCTCTACAAATGTGTGCAAATATATATATATTTATTTGTATATATATATATATATATATATACAGTGTTTCTGAAATAACGCCCACTAATCATACAGTGCTATTCCTAATAAAAAATTAAGTTGAAAAGTCTTCTATCATTTTCGCAACAGTTAACGAGATATTAATTTCCAAATATTGCCAGATAAACGGATAAAATCGATGTATAAGACAATTTTAAAATATCTTTTCGTATTCTTTGTGAAATATTTTGAAAATTTTTCTTAAAGAACTCTTAAAAATATCTTAAAGCTGTCTTATACATACAATTTTATATATATATCGCTCATTGGGTACTAAATAACTAAAAAAAAATTTTGCGAAAATTGCAAAATGGTAGAGGACTTTTCGTCTCAATTTTTTATTAGGAATAGCATTACATGATTAGTGTTATTTCAGTTACACCCTGTATATCCTTATTACATTAAGCTTATTTTATTACCTGTTTTATGTAACGCAAAACAACAAAGATAATGAATGGATAATTAGTAAATACAAAAAGAGAAAGATTTAATCAGTCATTAATTGTACACTCCGATGCGGATGTGATTAATGCATTTAGAATTAATTATAAAAATCGGTTCTTTTGATTGCAGTCATTCGCGAAATAAGATTAGTGAAACAAGATAGTTAAAGATGCTCAGATTAATATCAGTAATATTAATAAATTAAATTGTCGATTTAATTTGTGATATTATGTACTCCAGCTTCGTTCTAAGAGTGTATTCCGTTTCACGCATGATGTGCATAATACATCATTTATTCTTGTTTAACATTCGGCGAATAACAAGGATAAATGATGCATCATGCACATCATGCATGAAACGAAATGCACCCAAAGACTGTGTTTCAAGACCGACAAATAATCGTCGCGGAATTTACTTGAACTGAAAATTGTAAACTTTCATATAAAAATATTCTCAGGTAGCAAGCTGACGTAATTTGTTGTCATTTTGACGTGAAAAATGACATTAAAGGATGTCATTTTTACATCAAAAGGATTATTAAGCATAATAAAAGTTGTCGTGATCGAATGTGGTCCTTTTGACTCACTGAGTTGAACATTTCTCGATCCATTTTCACTTAAGGTAAAGATAATATGAATATTTCTAAATATTACTATTTATCTTGAATAGTTTGTTAGAATAATATTTAAATTCTTTCTCTGAAAGTAACATTCTTTGCGTTCCAATTCACATTCGAATAATTGTAGTTATAACTTCGACAATGTTGATCGACTATAATAAATAATCGCCGTAAGATATCGCAATATCTCCAAACTTTCATGAGGTATAAACGACGCTGTGTCCGAAAGCAATCGAGGGTTTTGCAAATATAATATCGAGTTTCGCGGTCGTATCGGGTCGCGATTTTCGATACCCAGCCATCCCACGGTGTAGTTAAAGGGAAGAGCCGGGACTCGTTCAAGGCGAGCCACATGCCACTGCAATTAACGGCCCGATATTTCATCTGGAAAACAAGGCGAAACAGCCAATATTATTGCATCATGAGTTTGACGTGGCAGCTGTAAGAATACATTAAATCTCAGAAAGTGGTGCAAGCGAGTGCGAGCGCGCGAATTGCTCTCTTAAATAACGGTGCGACCGTCAACGACGCCACATTGTACGAATTCCGCAAAATTGTGACGATAAATAATAAGAATATTACTTGTCACGCAATAACGGCATTTAAATTATTTTCCATCGTCAAATTAATAGATAATACCTATCATCGAAACACCGCTATGCGTCTGCCAGCACATCTTGCTCTATATTTATCGTTGCGCAAGATTGCATTAATTTCCTCGTTTTTTTCTTTCTAGAAAAACTCATAATATATATCACACAATGCTCTCGACATATTATATACAGTGAGAGTAAAAAGTATTCGTACAAGGAAATTTTTGATAAGAAAAGTTTTATTTGTAGAAAATAAATATTAATTAATTAGCAATTTTATACAATGAATACATTCTGTTCTAACATAAACAAACGAGTTTCGCATGTATTTCTGATATTAGAGCTAAATTTCTCGACTGTATATTTGAGTATCCAAACAATGGAATTTTTAATTTTCGCTTATTTTTCAGATGATATTAGATGTGGGAAAAAGTTCGTGGCGTTTTTCTCATTACATCTAACGGGAAAAACGCCACGAACTTTTTTCCATACCTAATATATTTTCTATAATTAATACACATCTTTTTGGTATATATAATTTTAAAAAATATATAGCCTATTTTCTTCTTGAATAAATTGTTAATTACCCAGCAAGAAATGATCGTCAATTAAACGTTGATTTGACGTGAAATTGATGTTGAAATCATCATATCGATTCGACATCAATTCGATAATTCATTTCTCGCTGGATAATATTTAATTTTTTTAAATAAAGTTTTTTTATATAATAATATTTTAACTCTCTACGAATACTTTTTGTACTCACTGTATAATAGCGAGCAGAACAACACGACTATTTACTCTCAGATAACCAAATATTTGGCTATCTGAGAATAAATAATCGTGTTGCTCTGCTTACTATTATATGCATTATGAAACGAAAAACAATTACGCACACATGCACGCGCATATACACATATACGCAGAAGAAAAGAATGCTAAATACCAGGGATTACTCAAGACATGCAACTATATTTATTTACGTATTGCGTAATGCGTGCGCGGAGATAATTAACGGAGCAATTAATCGGCGCGCAACAGACGCCGCGCCGGCTCTTTAAACGCCGCAAATCCATCTCGGGGAATTAACACGCGGGAAAAAAGCTGGCACCAACCGAACAACTTCATTCGATATATCCCTCGCGTATAAAGTTACGTCGCCAAGGCGTTAAGCCATATTCCGTTTCTGCCGTTCCATTGCAAAACCAGACATATTCCGTTACGCGATATCGCGCATTATGTGACGTATATACAATCTCTCATGATTTGATGATCATTCTGGAAGGCGATAAAACACTTCCAGAAAATCTCACTAAAATATCAAGAAACAATTGAGTTTCATTGAGTTAATATTAATGTTGGGAATTTTTTCTCAAATTTTTTAATTAAAATAAAAAATTAGAAATATTGAATAGAGGTTATAAATTATTTTCTCCAATAAAATAAATATAATATAAAAAAGAAATGTTTAAATTTTTATGATTTGAGAACTACTGTTTATTAATATGCACTATAATATATTGTCTTTCATTATACTGTCTATTAATTAAATATCTTGAATATTAATTTAATAATATAATATCTTATAAGACTATATATGTGTGTGTGAACACAATCTATAGAAATTGGGTTCGACTCTCGGTCAAGGTAATATTTTTTCGCAATAAAAATTAATTAATTTATAAATTTAACATATCACTCGGCATTATTAAAATCGTCCCAACCCAGATAACATTTCGTGCAAAAGCAATAAAGCAATGTAATTTATTTGCTGATACTTATTGTAATATTGCCATGGTAAAAGCAAAAACATTTGTTAAATAAAATTTTGCTTGCATATTGCCATAATTTTGCCAAATTAACATTTATACTTTTGATAAGCAAAATTGCTTCAATTTTGCTAAAATATTGTCAAACACTTTTACCACAATTGTTGCCGCAAAGTTATCGTAAAATTATTCTATTACAGTTTGTGTGTTTCTTTGCTTAATGCAATATTGCATCAAATGCGAGGATTCATTTTGTTGGCAAATTGCTTGCAATATTTTTAAGCAAATTTTCAGCAAAATGCCGACAAAAATCTAGGAAGATGCGAAAAAGTATCAATTGTTAAAAATGATTAGTCAATTTAATATTACTGTGGTAGTTTAATAGAATTTGCGTTTCAAAATCGTAAAATCATTTCAGCGCGCATTTTATAGGACTATATATATGTATATATAAATTCACACAGAATCATACAAATATGATTCTAATTAATTAAAAGTAAAGTCATCCTGTGTAACATTACAAAGAACTTAATAAAACTCAATTATTGTAAAAAAATATTAAAAAATATATATAAATGAGGACATTTTGGGAAAATGATAAATCAAATGATTTCAAGGTTAGAAATCACACGTCGAGTCATAAAATTATATATATGCATACACACACACACACACACACACACACACACAAGTGCGCGCGCGCGTACAAAAAAGAATCAATGGATACTTCTTTTCCTATGTAATCTGAAACATTATAATTCTTTTTTAATTCGATAATTTATAACATAATTTACGTTATTATGAGTTATAGAATCAAAAAAAAGAAATCATAATGATGTTTTCGATGACTACGCTTAGGAAAAGAAGTACTCACATTAATTCTTTTTTTTTTAGATATGATACAATGTGTGTGTAACATTAACAAAGTACTTAATAAAACTCCATAAGTGTGAAAGAATTAACTTCAAGATATTAAATTAATAAAGGGTGATAAATTGATAGCTTGGTAAAAGACATATTGTATATTAATAAATAGTAATTTTAAAATCATAAAAATTCGAACGTTTTTGTCTCGTACATTGAAAATAATTTATAACATTTATTTATTATTTCCATTTTTTTATTTTAATTAAAAAATTATAACCATTACACGCGCGCGTTACATAATGGTATAATTAACCTTTTTATCACAATTAATTTACAGTTGGATTTTTGTGGAACCGACTATGAAAGAGATATTTGAACATGAAGAAAGCACGATGATACCAGAAAATATTGCACGTTCTTGGTATCGAAAATCACATAATCATTATGAGCCGGGAGAACAAATTACAAGAGAGTAAATATTATGCTAATAAGATGTCAATAAGATTACATAGCTGACCAAGCAACAGATTACAGACCAAGCAGCAGAGATAACAGAAATCAAGCTCATCATTATATAATTGGAATTTTTTTAGTTATAAAAAGTTTGATAAATGTATTATATTTGGCAAACCGCCAAAGAGCCAGGGATGGGAAGCTCGGGTTAAAAGAATTTTGACGTGGATTAATCATGAACCAGTTACCTTAATCAACAGTCAACAAGCGGATTTCTTACAACGCACTAGATCCTTCATCGGACAAATTAAGTAATATCAGTTGAACCAGCAATTGTTAATCTTGCGATAATTGTACAATTTATAATAGTGACAAAAAGAGAAATGACAAAAATCTTATCAAAATCTCTTATATAACAAATCCTTTTCATTATGTGAATACAGATAAATATAAATATAGATAAATATAAATGTGTTAATTGTTATAAAATTTAAATACAATAGTAACTTTTACTGTTTTTTTATAATTATATCTTTCTCTTCTTATGTTATTACTATAATTTAATATTTATATTATTCTTAATTTAACACATAGATTTAATTTACATAGATTTTACATAGATTTACATAGATTTGTTAACCAGTAAAATAACGCAACTTAAACTCAGGATTGAGTAATAACTAGTTGAAACGTTAAAAGTTAAAAAAAAAGTTAAAAAGTTAACAATTTTTAACTTAACTTAGTTAATTTTAAATGCATTAATTTTTAACTTAATTTAATTACTTTTAAACTTTAATTTATTAAATTTTTTTTAATTTAAAATTTTTCTATCTTTCTTAATGCTAATATTTTTTTTCTATAAAGTCTTAAATATTAGAGAATTAATTTAGAAAAAATTCAATAATTTTGTGATGAAAGACTCTATAATAAGAGTCACACCATACAGTAGCCAGTTTTAATTGACTCACTAGAATTTGTCAATTCTCACTTACATTTGAATCACACTAATTTTAGGTTTCACAAACGTATTTAAACATATTTCAGCAATATAAATATGAAATGAGCCTTAGATGAAGAATTGTTGTAGAACAGAATTGTACATCCGCCCATTTTCTAAATTTTTACGTTATTTTTTGTAACAAATATCTAATCGATGTAGTCGTAAACATGCATGAATAATCGTTTCAGAAATTAAAGAAAGTTAGATAAAGAAAGAGAAATAATGCAAACGTATACCCTTCTCTCTCAAAAAGATTTTGAAAACACCTTATGGTATGACTCTTATTACATATATTTATATGTGGATATAAAATTAAATTTGCCTAATAATCTATATTTGTAAGGATTATTATTTAAAGCAATCTCATTTTAAGAAAAATTAAGACATTTCTGATTTCAAAAATAATTTTTTTCGAAATTAACTTTTTTTTAAACTTAAATTAATTTAGTCTTAACTTAACTTTTATTAGTTAATTCTTTATTCCTTCAACTTTCAATTTAATTTTATTAATTTTATAAACCATTAATTTTAACTTAATTCAGTTTAAAAAAAATATTATTACTCAATCCTGCTTAAACTTTAGATAATTTTAATAAAAATATAAATATAATCTTTTTTCTTTTTTTTATACTAACTATATAAAACTTGAATTAATTAATAATAAAAATTATAAATTTTTTTGTGGAGAATCATTACTAATTTGTAATTCAAGAGATCCAGAAACATTGCGTCTTTATGTAGACACTGTACACGGTAAGAAGACTGTCAAAGATGAATTAAATGAATTAAATGAATCAGACAAACAAGTGCTTTTCTGGTGGCAATGTTTACAAGATTTATACGATTTCCGTCGAAAACTCAAAAAGCGTATACAAGAAGTGCCGTTCTTAGACATAGAGGATGAGTTTTCTTGTCTAGACAAAGTACACATGTCTCTATATATTTCTTAATATATCTAAACCAATATATCTATATCATATGTGTATCATATGTATGTTATTGACTATTTTATTTGTTATAACAAAAATTCATATTAATTATAAATTCGCACTTAAATGGAATAGTAAGTTAATCAAATTAATCAAAATTATTTACGATCACATTTCATCACAAATCATATTCTTACAATCATAAAATTTTAATACAGGAATACATCGGAACTCTACCTGAAGATAAGGTTTTTCTGATTTTCGAAAAATATCGCATATATCCAAATAAGAAGTTTTTTGTACCATTAATGGACACGTTGCAATTGCGCATAGATGGAAATGTTAATTACAGAGAAATACTGAATCTCTTGAATTGGAAGCGCAGTTTACCCGTTCTACCAATAATTAAACGTGATTAATCAATAATTTTTGTAATATTCTAAATTCTCAAAATTGAATTAGAGAAATTATAAATGATACATCTTTATATGATAATTAATAACAATAACTAATTTTAATCTAATAATTTCAAACGTATTTCAATTCTGATTTCAATTTTTAATTTAATTTTAATTTATAGCAATGATATTAAACACATAGCAATGATATTAAAAAATATTATTTTAGAAGCACCAGTGGCGAGTTTAGATTGTACTACGTATGACAGCATAAAAAATATTCAGACAACTGATAGCGCAAGTAGGGTTTACTTTTTATATCTCTCGATTTTAAAAGTATTTTTCTCAAAGTGATTATTTGAAATATGAAATATTATAGAAGTACATGCGGCAGAACTTCCATCTGAAAGATCAGAGTTTCTGATAACAATGTTACCACGCGCTGGATTACATCCAGATAAAGAGAATTTGGGTGATCAAACCTCCATCCATTGCTTGATATCGCCTAGCATATTTACGAGATATGGTTTGACACATATAGATTTTTTTAAGGTGGATCGTTTGACTTCGTATTACTCCATTGTTTAAATATTTCCATTGTTTATATATCGAGTTACTCCATTGTTTAAATATTTTTATTCTTAATTTGGTATAAATTGTATCCGAAGATTTTGTCTCGTCTAAAAAATTTACGAAAATTCCTAGCTGTAAATATTAATTTATACTTTATTTATATATATTTATTATTTAATCTAATTATTCCATACTATTCTATTATATTATAAAAATATTAATTTATATTTACAAAATATTATATAGATGCGCGACAAAGAAGAAATACGAAACATATTCGAGAACATCGGTTTCGAATTTCCAGAGGAGAGCTTTGATACACTTTGGCAGAAAGGAATACGGAAGGATTGCACCGACGGTGTGTGCG